CGATCCATTGGGAAAGGGCAGTGTCAGGAGGAAGGAGCCAGGCTCTGCTCTGGGATGGCCAATGCCAGGACAAGGGGCAATGGTCCCAAGCTGGAGCACAGGAGGTTCAAGCTGAAGATGAGGCCAAAGTTTGTGAGTGTGAGGGTTCTGGAGCATGGCCCAGGCTGCCCAGAGAGGTTGTGGAGTCTCCTTGTGTGGAGACACCCAAAGTCCTGGCCGTGTTCCTGTGTGACTGCTGTGGTGATCCTGCTGTGGCAGGGGTTGCACTGGGGGAGCTTTCCAGGTCCCTGCCAACTCCTCCTATTCTGTGATTCTGTGAACACACACCACTGGGGGCCCAACCACAGATCACCTGTTTTAATCTCCCTCCCAAAAAACCCGTTACCCAGTGCCACAGAAGTGATTTGGGCCACACTTACGGTAGTTTTGGAGCTTTCAGCATAAGGCAGTGGTTTCGCGAGTTTCTCTACATCAGCCCCACTGGACCCAACCTGGGTGTAGGAGTAGGACCCACGGAAGTTGGGGTTGCTGCCCCAGGATGACCGCAGGATCCGGCGGGGTTTCGGAATGTTCGGGTTCCCTGGGTGCAAAGCAGAAGAAGACACAAAGTTAAAACCTTGTCCTAAAGAAAACCACGGCAATGCCCGTACAGGGCATGTATTAGGTCAGATTTATTGCAAATATATCCTAGCAGAGCCTGCAGGCTACAGGGAAGAGCCCTAAACCAGATCTCTATCTGATTACTGAATTCTAAGTACCTATAGAACAGAAATTCTTCCATTTTGGGAAAGATCATTAAAATGCTTATGTTCCTAAATCATTGGGGAGCTTCACGGGACACTGGACACGGTCTGGTTGAAAACATGGAGCATCTCATGGTCTCGTTTGCCATGGGGAGCCTGGTGGCAATCAAGCATATGATTGATCTCACTGAATTGTAGGTATTTAAATAGGAGCCCAGTCTAAATTGGATGTTTAGGTCATCCTGTGAGAGAGATGTGCCTCCAAGGAGGAATGGAGATAAGGATGCCAGAAGGGAAATCCTCATTATGTGGGGGCATAGGAAAAGCTGTCACAAAGTTGCCAAAAACTGTATTACTCACTCCAACTGCTACCCAGCTGCCCCCAAAATGAACCTAAAATCCAACAGATCCATTCTGTGGGCTCCATATGGCATGAAAAGAAGGCTTCTGAGGCTGGAAGTGGGATTTCTAGATTGCTTAGCAGGATTTGCACTGCTAGGATGTAGGACCTAGAGGTGAGGGGCATCTGAGTGTACCAATGACAGGGCCATCATCAGTCACTGTTCCAAAAAGAATCCTGTGACTGTTCCATCAGTCACTCCCAAAAAGAAGAGGAGCACAGAGGATCCAGGACTGTAGCTGAGGCAGCCCCCAGCTGGTGGCACAAGAGCCTTGAGTAGACCTGAAATAGTGAGGCTCACTTTGGAGACCCTCTTACAGGCTGGTTTGGGACCACCTCAGTGTTATTGACTGAGATTTTGTAGGTGTCTTGTGGTCGTATCTGGCTTGGCAGGAGAGGAACGAGGAGATGGGACATGGAGACCTGCAACCAAGAGGAATTTCCTCTGCAGGACTGCTGAGACCCACCCTTGAGGCATCCTCACGTTCAGCTACTTGGGTTGAGTCCAAGTCTTCTTCATCAAAAGTGTTGTCAAACACTGGAAGGGGCTGCCCAGGGCAGTGGTGGAGCCACCATCCCTGGAGGGGTTTAAAAGATGGGGAGATGTGGTTCTTAGGGACACGGTTTGGTGGTGGAGTTGGCAGTGCTGGGTTAACAGTTGGAATTCATGATCTTAAAGGTCTTTCCAACCTCAGTGATTCTGTGTTTCTCAGAGGCAGTCAGCACAAGAAGTGAGAGCTTTGAGGCGTGTTTGTACCTTGCACAGTTCCTGTGTCTGCTTCAGACCCTGACCCTGCAACGCTTCAGCAAGCTTTGCCTGCTATGAAGACAACCAAATTCCCCCACTTTCTTCATCAGAGCTTAGAGAGGGAGCCATCCAACTGTAAAGGCTAACTGGGCACTACATTATTTAGTCCTACTAAACAATTACTTAGCCATGCTCTTAATTCCTTAAATTCAGGAGCAGGTGACTTCCCTGGTTCAGCTACTATTGTTGGGAGTATCGTGTGTCAGCCAGAACCACATCTAAATATGCCACAGACTAGCAAATAAATAGACCCTGCAAACAAAATACATCCTACAACTGAATGTTGTTTCAGGAGCAACAACTCAGCATAACAAAGGCTTTCAAATACGCTCCTCCAAGAAGCTTCAAAGCAGG